CACCGTGGCCCCCACCGAAGCCGCCCTTGCCAAAGCCGCCTCCTCCGTGGCCACCACCGAAGCCGCCCTTGCCAAGACCACCTCCGCCGTGGCCCCCACCGAAGCTGCCTCCTCCGTAGCCTCCACCGAAGCCTTCCTTGCCGAAGCCGCCTCCTCCATGGCCCCCACCGAAGCCGCCCTTAACAATACCGCCTCCTCCGAAGCCCCCACCAAGGCCGAACCCCCCTCCGCCGTGCCCTCCCCCTCCAAAATTTCCGGGCTCTGGCTCTCCCAGGACGAGAGCCGCCGCCAGCATCACCAGGACCCCAAGGACCCACTGACAAACAATTCCTCCATGTTAAGTCCTTTTAATTTTGTTTAAAATTTTCTTTTTCATGCAAGGCTTGTTTTCTCATAGGTGGAATACCCGTCTTTCTTTCACTTTCCTGCCTGACTCCGAAATTATGCTCTCCCTATTCCTCCTTTTTGAGTCACTGATTCACTTCAAGTAATTATTTATTTCAAGGAAAAGTAAGGGAAATTTCTGATTTACCTCCTATCCAGGAAAGGTCTTTCTGCCACCCAAAAAGCAAGGCAAACATTGAAATAATTTTTTCCTTGAGACGAAGTCGAAACTTAAATAACAATATTTTGAATCAAGTTATGACTGTCCTTTAGTGGCACCCCCAATTCCTAGAAATTTTTGAAGAAAAAAATGATTTTCCAGAGAGCAATCTCATGAGATAAACTTTGACCTGTCCGACGGACTCGCGTTACCCGTTTGAGGGTCGAGTTAAACTGAACGTGTAATCATTAGCAGGATCATACTGAAATACTGCTTGAAGTGAAATTTCACTTAAGAATGGTTGCCTATGCTTTTTATGTTGCATGTTTTCTATGTTGCTTCATGCTAAATGTCGACTTGAATCTGTCGATTATTTGGTACGGAATTGACAGAAGCAGATCAACGCACTTCATGGACTGTAATAATGAATTAGCTGTAAATTACTTTCTTTTAACGGGGATTTCCTTGCCGAAGGATGGTGACACTGGAAATTGATCTAGAAAAGTTCAATTTGAGGAAGAGATACCGGAAGAAGAGTGGACTCACCAGGAGTTTCATCTTTCTGTCACGGGACGAATCGAACGACAAAACCTGGAATGTAGGAAGGTACTGCCTCAATAGGAAAGAAGGAGCTACTTATATACGGGATTTCGAGGTTTCCACCCATTGACCAAGGACTTCCGCGGATTTGTCCATGGAGACAATGAACGACAAACCTCCCGGTGGGAGGGCGGGGGAGGGGCAGCTGGAGATCGGGATCAGTTCGCCTTTCGCAATTCTAACCGGACCATTCCATCTGTTCGGCCTTCAATTGGCAGGGGATATTCATTGGCGACCACGCGGGAGGATTCCGAGGGACATTCCGGATGACGTGTTCCACATAGCACGTTGACCCTACTCGTTCTTCGGGGACCATCTGTCCAGTTTTTTACTTGCCACTAAGTGGAGATTCCAAGGACTTCAATCTTTGCAAGAAACTTTCCTCATGAGCGCGCCGGACACGAACGATGCCGAATTTCGAAATTTTTGCGTCCTTTTTTTTTGCCAAAGTACGCCTGGTTTCTTGATCCATTTAGCAGGGGAAAAAAAATGGAATTTCTCATTGACGCTGAGAAAAATCCAAAGCGTGTATTCTTCTCCTCGACGATTTCACGGAGGCAGCGGGACATGACTGTGCCCTTGACTTTACGATCGTCCTCGGATTCCGATCCGTTTCGAATGCTATTGACATCGGAGTGAAGCGTGACATGACTCGAGACGGTCGAGGGAGGGGATTCTCAATTAGGGCGCGGTTCCAGCACTGAACAGGAAGTTAAAAAGGAGGCACTCGTTGCTGCGACGAATCGACAGATCTCCATGTCATGCAGATATGGAATTTTAAGGGGTGAAGAATGCTCATCTCATCCCGTCACTTCTCATCTTGGCTCGTTTCATCAAAACCTTTCATCTCATCCTACCCTCAGCACGGCTCCAATTTCCTTAGTCGTTGCCGAACGGCCATGTTCAGGAAATACATATTTTCTACCTGTATAACGGGTGGAGCAAAAACACGCGTCGTGTTTGACGCTTCATAAAATCAGTTGTGGATCATCGAAGTTCATGATATATTCATACTATGTTGAAAACACCGTCCAATTTGGTTTCTGAAAGTTTCATATTGCGGTCCTGAAACTCCATCATCGTCGCGCGCGGAAAGGTCCATTTCATGGCTCCACATTAAGCGACTGCCGATATTCATTCAGTCAACTCAGGTTCATGAAACCAGCCATCCCCGGCGCTTGAGTGCACCGAGAGGAAAAATTTTGGATGGAAACGCATCCCTCGACCTTCCCCTGGATGGAAGGGGAGGCCATGCAAGGTTTCATTGCACTTGGCTCCAAGGGGTCCAAATCCAAAAAGGAACAGAGAGACCAATTTTTCTTCATATATAAAGATTAGACCATATGCCTTCAGGATATTAAGTATTTGTGGTAGATTCTGCAAATCGCCACATTGTCATTTTGCGCGGGGCTCTGCTAGTTTCAATATATTGTTATTTCAATATATATTATTATTGTTGCTTGTTATTGTTGTTTTAACACGGAACTTCATGTGTAACCTTTCTCTTGGCCCACCTTTCTTTGGCTCTGCCTGTCGCATACATTCCATGCGCAAGAGCCACACTTGGCCAACAGATGTATTAAACTGGGCCACAGAAAACGCGGACGATTGCCACTGTCATGTATGGCTCGTGTACGTGGAACTTGGAACATCTGACTGTGCGGAGATAAACACACTTCACCCGGGAAGAAATTGCTGACTGTGGACGGAGTTGGAGCAGGCGGGAGAGGACGATACTTTCACGATTTAAAATGAATACGAAACGGGAGAAAGGAAGGATTGGGGTCGAATTGCATGTCGATCTTCAATCTAATTTTCTTGTTACGTAAGAAATGCTTCCGTGATCGTATGTTCGGCGTCTCTACGAAGGAAAGCTTCTTTCCCAGCAGAAAATTATCTCATGATCTTGTAAAATGAAAGAAGTACAGGCTGTTTCAATCCGCAGTAAGAGGAGGAAGAGAGGCACAAACACGATCCCGTTATCCCAGCCAGCTAATAAAAAAAAAACTCCACCTTGTCATGCAGTGAAGGACCTTGGGGTCAACAGGTTTGAGACTAGCTGACGGCGCACTTGCTCGGGTTAGAGTCCTATGGCCCAGGGTTGCCAGATGTTCTAATTTCTTGGCGCGGCGATTCGCCGATTGCAACAGGCGCAAACGTGCTGCAATAATGAAAGAGGGGCAAAAGACGGTACTCATTGCGATGGCCTGTTGCATCGCGAGATGGTAGATCAATTCCCACAGGCTCTGAGCAAGGAGAGACTGGATTAATTTGCATTTCTTCCTGGCAGCAGTGCATACTGGAAGCCTTGTAGGTGAAGTGCCGAGAGGAGCGGCAGTATCGCTGTGGCCGTGTTGGGAGCTAGGTGCCTCCGAGTCTGTGTTTGCATCGGTGACTCTTGCCTTCACCCTTCAGTTTTGGTTATTGCCCATTTCATTTAGTTTCCTTGTAAAAACTTTGGAGTTGCTGCGCGGAGCAGAAAGTGCAGAAATGGATGCATGAGGCGGCATGGGGCTTTTGACTACGTAGCATCGAACTAGTACAGGAAAAAATAAAAACGCTTTCTTCGACCTAAAACACCTTGTTACCGATGGTAATAAATAAGTTACCGTTAATCTCTCGACCAAAAGGTTTCACTTCTCGGGGTCTCCTCGAATCTAGTACTGGAAGTGTACTCGTCTAGTACTGAAGTGGTCGCACCGCTGCGATGAACCCAGACAATTGAGGCACCGATGCTTCGCAATTCCGAGGAGTCTCAAATGCAGATGAAAATAAAGTTTATCTAAAAACCTGTAAGGGACCTGTTACATGTAGTTTTATTTCGTGTTACGTTGCTCTACGTGCGAAAATGTCTTTTGGAACAGCATGCATGAATTGAAGGCTATTTTTAGACACAATTATATTCCTAAATATATACTTTTTTTTTTCCTATATTAGCCTAAGCTTCCAAGTTAAACGTTGGAGGGCGCTGCCATCCTCTCAGCACATTTTTTTTTCCGTTTTTGTTGTTCTCTCCCATTTCAGCTAAACTAGTTCAGTGTTTCTCACGTTCTTCTCATGACCTTGAATTTTCCTGCTCATGGAGAATGAATGAATGGGATGAACCCAACTGGGGAGACATTCAGGTTTATTTATTAATACTTTGCCAGTGGGAAGATGACAGTGGGAAGAGAGAAAGGACGAGACAAAGCGAGAATGTAGGCCGGTCGTTCTTAACCTCTCCCGAATCTGCAAGGGAAAGAGAGGGAAAATGAAGCAGTCCTATTACATAGGACTACATTCTTTCTCAACAGATGGATATCGTAATTGATGTCCACGATGATACAAAAATGAAACATCACTGAAAGGCATTGTGTGCAAGGACCGTCCAAGGGTCATGCAGGCAAGAAAGGGCTTTAAACACATTTTTTGTGAGACTCTGGAGCTCTTAAACATTTCTTAAAGCATTTTTAGGCATTTTCCCAAAATATAAAGCATTCCAATCTGAAAGGACGCAACGAAACCGCCTAGACAACCTGTCCCTCCATATTTGGAACAAAGATCTAATTTCCTAGATTCTGGAAGACTTAGCCCGACATTTCTTCTACATCTCACGCGCTAGCGACCTCCCAAGATCCCAACAGAGGCAGAAAGTAGAGAACATACCCGTGATGTCCTCCGTGATGTCCTCCGTGATGTCCTCCGTGATGTCCTCCGTGATGCCCACCGAACCCACCTCGGCCTCCGCCGTACCCACCTCGGCCTCCGCCGTACCCACCTCGGCCTCCGCCGTACCCTCCCCGACCTCCTCCGTACCCTCCCCCGAATCCACCTCCTCCGAATCCACCGCCAAACCTCTGGGGCTCTGGCTCTCCCAGGACGAGGCTCACCGCCACCATCACCAACATCCCAAGGACCCACTGTGGAGGAATCAGTGTTATACATGCTGGTTCGCTCGTGTTGAGCACGGACCATGCATTAAACGTCTTAGCTTTGCCTTGAATGTTGCGAATAACAATTTATTCATCATTGTTACTGCAACTGTTTGATAATTCTGATTAAACAAGTGCGTCCAATGAAGTACAAAAGAAGAATTGCTCTACTTTAAAGCTCAGGATTGCTATAAGAAACGGAAGATGAAATACTCCTTTAAAAGGAACTTCATTTGAAAATTATTGGCAAATAATTGAGAGCATTGTAAATTATTAATGGGGAATTTTAAAGGGATTTTGTTCATTTATTGTAGGGGCGAGAGGCACAACATTATCGGAATGTTAAGCATTTATATTATTTTATTGGACTTCATTTTGATGCATGTCGTACGAGAAGGCTGCATCCCATTTCTATGGGTTAAAATTCGGCGAAAGACCTGAACCGATTTTTTCCATCACAAAAATGCACATATAAACCAAAGTCAATGAAAATGAAAGACAAAAATGCGAATAGGACTCACCAGAAACTTCATTGTAGACTTGTCGAACGGAATGGGAACTAACGCTGGGAAAAGTCTGATGGGATGAGGAAGGCGGCAGCGTCTTATAAAGGGGATTCCTTGGGATTCCCCCCCCCCCCCCCCCCCACCCCCCCCTCTCACCACTCCCCTCGGCCTTGGTCCTTGTCCGATGGGGATTCCGCCGGGAGTGAAAGAGATATTACTGGGAGGGAAAAAAGGGAGGATTACCAGTTTTTTTTTATAGATCCGGTTAGGAATCTTGTCTTCTCTGTATGGGTATGCTTCAACGTGAGGGAAATAATTTTCTTGGAAGTTCTGCTTCGTGGATCGTTCCAGGAAGTGCTCAGAAGACAAATACGTTCAGTGATTTTTTTTTCGAATTCGGCTCTTTGATTTGCATAATGCCGAGTCTCCATTGCATGGGCGATGCCCGTATCCGAAAGGGAAGCAATTATCGATAATCGATAATTGGTAATCGATCGGGTTTCCCCACTCAACCCCTTGCGGGTGGTCCGGGAAAATAAGGAACCCGCTTCATCAGCGGAAAGAAACTAGCAGGATGAGAATCCCTCTGATAGCTGATTTGATAGATAGCTGATAGACGGCTGATAGCCCATCGTCCCGAGTTCTCATACTCGGGTCGAATAGACCAGATAATCATTTTGCATCGAGAAATTTCGTGAAAAACACGGGGACCACTATTTCGCTTCAGATCGTCTGCATCTCGCATACAGCGTTCAAAACAATCCGATATTCCAGCCGCTCCCTCGATCCAACCCTTAATGATACCGACTCTTGGAAGCGTCGGTGGACGAACTAAGAACGGCTGGAATTGTCATCAGAAGAGTTTGTGCGACCTGACCGATAAACTCATCGCCTTGAATAGATTTTCCCTTGATGATTTTTTTTTCATCCCGGCATATCGAGGATTCAGACCCTGATAATATTATTGGACTCAAGCTAAAAAAAAAAGGAAGACATTTTACGAGTTTCATTAATGGTAGCTCCATTATTTAAAAATTCTGACTACTTTTCACTATATGGCATCTCAACGTTATCATTCAAAAAGACTTCCAGCTGGACATTTTCGTATTTCCTGGAATTTCTTTTTTAAAAAACCTGGAAAAAGAGGCATTCTAGAACTGCTTTGCCAGAAATGAAAAAAACCTGATTGGTGTAGCAAAACTTAGTGAGACGGAAAATGTTGTCTCCAGTGCTACTTTACCACGTTTGTATGATTTTGATGTTTAATTCGCCTAAGTGATCTGGAAAAGTATTGAATTTCACAGGGCCTTTTAAACCCAGTTAACTTGATTCTTTCATTCAATTCAAATGAATTTCGTGGATCAATGCTGCTAGGAAGAACGCAGTAGAAATACAACTGACCAAAACTGGGGAAGTACCAGATCAGTTGCTTTTTCTCGTTTTTTTTTTTTCCTCGACGAGTACCGACTGTACCGTTGTTGAATTTTGTGAAAATTCTCAGCCAGTTTTGGAGAGGAGATTTGTATTTCCGTCTGCCGGGGAAAGGGTTAAATCGAGGATGCCACTCTCCCCACGATAACTCCACCACATCGCCGATGTGGTGGAGTTATCGTGGGAAGTACGAAAAATTGCCGACTTGCATTATATTTCCAAATATCTCTTGCGACTTCATTATATTGTAAAAGCAAATGGATTATATATTTAAAACGTGACATATAACCATTGAATACATTCAATATGTCACATGCTTCAACGCTGCATCAATGAAAAGGTTGTTTCCAGGAATACACAGGAAAACGTGGGGGGGGGGAAAGTATGATAGCAATGGGGCAATCGAAGCGTGGCATGCGACCTGCAATCATCTCGGAGGCAGGAGTAAACTGATCCTGTGAAAGGCTGAAGGACGAAGCTCTTATTCAGAGGATCGCTGGAGAAAAACTTTAATCCGTGAATCCGTGTTTTAGACAAGACTCAGACGACTCTCGATTGACAATCCCCTCGTACCCGCTGTGAAGCATGGGAGGAGAACAAGATGCCATCGTTCGAAGTACGGTATCTACAGACAGATGATATATGAATACGATGTCTTATTCTTATTCTTATTCTTATTCTTATTCTTATTCTTATTCTTATTCTTATTCTTATTCTTATTCTTATTCTTATTCTTATTCTTATTCTTATTCTTATTCTTATTCTTATTCTTATTCTTATTCTTATTCTTATTCTTATTCTTATTCTTATTCTTATTCTTATTCTTATTCTTATTCTTATTCTTATTCTTATTCTTATTCTTATTCTTATTTTCACTTCAAGTAACCATGGAGTTTATTACCAACTAGAAAGGTGGACTAAGTTTTTTACTTTGAAGGATTCATGTATCTTAAGCACTCTCAGGAGTTGCTTCGCGGAGTGGGACGTATTAACCGCTACGAGAGTAATTATATTGAGGCGGTTGAAATTTCCACTTTGAAAGATTCTTCAAATGCCACCAATTTATTATTTTTTTTTTATATCCCTGCAATGCAATCAGTAACATGAAAAAGTGTTTTATCTCCTCTAAAATCGAAACATGGGAAATATTTAAGTGGGAGTTTTTCCGTATTTTGCAGGTATGGGCGGTTTTTCGTATATTCGGACAAAGTGGGGGGCACGGGAAGTCTAGAATACTGTTATCATGCATTTCTGGGTCTTTCCATTTTTTTTGCTTAATTTCTTGAAATGTCGTGGATTACGTGCACCCGTGATTACGGGGCAAGGGGGCAAGGAGGGGGGGGGCCCCTCCTTGCCCCCTTGCCCCCATGCCCCCGGAAGCGACGTCGCTGGGTCCTGGCGATTCCTGGAGAATTTTCCATGTCAGGTTTGCAGGCAATGCTATTCTAGTGCCAAGTGCATCGTTTCTTCTCTCTTCGCAAGCGTTTCTGCTCACAACGCGACGAGACTTCCAAACTCTTCTTCCACGTGCTCTTTTATTTTTGCCAACTCGTAACAGCATCTTACATGCACGTTCATCAGAGGAAGGTCTCTCAAGCATCTTCGCCGCGCTGACAGGAACGATGTAATGCCGGCTCGGTCTCCAAAAAACATTTTGAATTCACCCGCCTGGAGCAACTGGAAGGTGGGCATTCAAGGATGGCGACAGGACAATGAAGCCCGTTATGCTTTAGCATACCGGATGCCGAGAATAAACACGCCGCTGTTTGAATTTGTAGATCAGGAGAACCCCGTCATTGATACAGCGATGTATGTTCCAGGATACGCGCATCGATGACTTGTCTTCCATTGGGAAGGCAAGTCTAAACTCTCCGAATTTAAAAAAATTGGAAAGATCCTATTTCTGGATTTTTTTTCCCATCTGGTTCGGTTCCAGAAGCATTTTGAAAGCTGGGATCGTTGGAAATCCTCGCCCGTTGCTATCCTCTCGCAGAAGCGATCACGCAGATGTCATCGAATCAGCAAGGTGACGAAACTGTGCAGTGACTAAAAAAAAAAAAACGATTGACAAAGTGACAAGTTGACAAAAATCTATTTTTCCATTGAAAATGAAGACGAATGCTGTCGTTCAGACGAAAGGCCGTCTCTTCGTTCATCCATTTCAATTTTCAGATAAATTACCAGCGAACTCATTATGTTGAAAATTAAAAAAAATAATAAAGATAAATTTATGGTGCTTCGTGGAAGTTCCTGAACATATTTTAAAATATTGGAAAGCTTACCATTTGGCACGAACCATTTGAGCGGGGAGGGGTCGAGGGGACCTCCGTCATTCCGAATGACGGACGCTGTCGAACGATCCCTTCCGGATCTCATGGAGATGCACCCTTTCTCAACGGGATTGCCCGCGGGGCTAGGCAATATCGATCTCTGGGGGAGAAAGGCGGAGGTGAAACGTGAAACCCTTAAAAATGGCGAAAATAAATTTTCCTTCCGATTCTTCACCATTAAATTTTTTTGTTATTTATAATTTTTCATTCATTAATTTATTGGCGACCGGTCTTCCACTGTGACATGCTCTCGAAGGCAGCATCGAAAAACGACTCGATGGAGACATGAGAAATGGAGCTGGAAAGCGCAAAGCAATCGATTTGCTGGCGCATCCTCCGCGTTCCTTTCTTCATTCATTGGATCCGATTTTGATTCGATATTCAGAGAGACCGGCCGACAGTTTCCCAATTGGCGATGAAAATCTACTGGACATCCGCTTGTTGCGAGTCGAAAATATTTTTTTTACGAGTCGTCGAACGAAGAAGAGAAGGGCTATTGATGCATTCGCTGCCTGCCACATGAGTTCCCCGCCGGTTCGTCAGGAATATTTCCACAATTTTCATAACTTTCTCTCTCTTTAAGCCTCATAAGACGCGATGAAACCGGCGATCGACTGTTGTCCCCGACAGAGCAGCCGACACTCCAATGAGACTGAGTTAATAGGAAAATTTTGCCTGATTTCAGTCGAAACGCCTCAGTCGTCCACGCTCTTGAACTTGTTCGTTACACGATTTTATGCCATACATGTAACAAAAAAAGGAGAAAAAAAAGGGGAGACCTTTCGGATGGCGAGTAGAGAGGAACGAGTTTCAAGAAGGACCAAGAAGTTGGAAAAACAGTCCCGCAAGTGGCGATAGTCGCATCACCCTCCACGAGACAGTCCTTCCAACCATCCTCCCCTTTTCTCTCCTCGGTTTTTTGAATGATGGGGATGTCATAAGACGTGAGACTGCGGATCGGACCGACTTGAATGCTTCCATATCCACTCGGCTACCGCTAGCTTCCTCCCAGTCCTCTTTGCAGGCAGGGAATTTCGTCAGGGGATCTGGAAAAGATGCGAGGACTTTTCCTTCACCTTCGCAGTCCCGTTCCCGTTCTCATTGCGACCCCGCAAACTCTTAAGACTCCTACAGGTCGCGGGTACTGGCCTATTGCATCGTGAGGTCCTAGATCAATTCACACCAGGCCTGAGCAAGAGGCGCCTGGATTAATCTATATTTATCTCTGGCAACAGTGCACTCAAGGAGGGCCTTCCAGATGAACTGCCGAGCGGAGCGACAGTATCGATGCGGCCGTCTTGGGAGCTAGGTGCCTTCGAGTCTGCGTTTGCATCGGTGACTCTTGCCTTCACCCTTCAGTTTTGGCTATTGCCCATGTCATTTAGTTTCTTTGTAAAATCTTTCGAATTTTACGCGCGCAGGAAATGCAGAAATGGATGCTTGAGGCGGCATGGGGCTTTTGACTACGTAGCACCGATCTAGTTCAGGAAAAAAAAAACTTTCTTAAACGCAAAACCCCTTATTACCGATGGTAATAAGGTACTATTGATCTCTCGACCTAATGGTTTACCTTCTCGGGGTCTCCTCGAGTCTAGTACTGGAGTGATCACACTGCCTCTATGTACCAGAACAAATGAGGTACTGATGCTTTGCAATTCCGAGGCGTCTCTATTGCAAATGAAAAGAATGAAGATTTATGTAAAGACCTGCAAGGGACTTGTTCTACGAGGTTTTACACGTGTTACGTTGCTTCACTTGCTAAGGTGACTTTTGGAACAGCTTGCATTAATTGAAGGCTATTTTTAGACAAAAAAAATATGTTCTTAAAAATATGCTATCTTTATTTCCTATAAATTGGCCTGAGATTCCAAATGAAAAATAGAAGAGCGCTGCCATCCTTTCATTCATTTCTTTCATTTTCGTTGTTCCATTCCATTGCACAAAAACTCGTTCCTGTTTCTCACGTTTTTCTCATGACATTGAAATTTCCTTCTCCTGAGGAATGTATGAAAGGAATGAAAGAAACCGGGTGAGAGCCATTCAGGTTTATTTGCTATGATACAAAAAAGACAGTGGCGAAAAAGAAAAGACGAGGCAAGGCGAGGATCTTGGTCGGTCGTTCGCTTATCTCCCGTATCTGCGAGGAAAAGAGAGAAAACGAAGCATTATATTCACATTTTTCTTTCTGAACACGTGAATTTCTAAATTGATATGCAAGACGGTACGTAGCTGAAATAACACTGAAAGGGTCCAATGCCTTGTGTGCAAAGACCATCCAAGGGTCACGTAGCGACCCTAGTTGAAAAGCGTTTCAAACACTTTTTCAGCGAGACTCTTCAGATTCTAAACATTTCTTAAGGCATTTTTAGGCGGGAGTAGCAAAGAAATTTGTAGCAACTAAAATGTGAAGTAATTTGAATATGAAAAGACAGAATGAAACCGCCAAGGTCTCCAGTATCTGTATACCTTAAAAAAGATTTCCAAGATGCAGGAAGACATAACCCGATCTTTTTTCTACACCTAACGCGCTAGCGACCTCCAAAGTTCCAAACAGAAGCAAGTAGCACAGAGCATACCCGCGACCCCCTCCGTGATGTCCTCCGTGATGCCCACCGAATCCACCTCGGCCTCCGCCGTACCCACCTCGGCCTCCGCCGTACCCTCCCCGACCTCCTCCGTACCCTCCCCCGAATCCACCTCCTCCGAATCCACCGCCAAACCTCTGGGGCTCTGGCTCTCCCAGGACGAGGCTCACCGCCACCATCACCAACACCCCAAGGACCCACTGGGAAGAAAGAATCAATGTTACACATGCTGGTTCGCTTGTGTCGAGCGTAGACCATCCATGAAACATCTTGGCATTGCATTGAATGTTGCGGGTATCATATTACTCATTATAATGAAAAACCGTTTGATAGATCTGATAATATTACAGCGTCAACTGAAATGCAAAAGAAGAATTGCGCTATTGGGAAGCACAGGATTACTATGAGAAAAGGAAGGTGAAAATGTACTTTAAAAGAAATATCCCATGTAAATTATCGGCGAATTATTGAAGGCAGTGTAAATTATTGAATTATTTAATGGAATTCTGTCCATTATTTGCAGGAGAGAGGCACACATTTTGGCAAATGTATTTAAATCATGTAGGACTTCATTTTGAAGGATTTGGTACGAGAATCGAGTTTCCCATTTTCATGGGCAACAATTCGGGGAAAGGCCTGAAAAGATTTTTTTAATGACAAAATACACATAAAAAAAAAACAAAGTAAATGTTAAGGCAATCCCATATGAATTTTAATTAAAAGACAAAGACGCGGCGAGGCCTCACCAGAAACTTCATTGTAGACTTGTCGGACGGAAAGAGAACTGACGCTTGGAATAGACTGATGGGATAAGGTTTTTTTTTTTGTTCAATGACCATTTATTATACTACATGCCCTTTACAGGAAAAGGATACAAGATGGGAGGAAGTGGAATATACAGGATTGGTTATTGACAGATGGTGCTTCTTTAGAGGTTGTTGAAGTCCNTAAAAAAAAAACAAAGTAAATGTTAAGGCAATCCCATATGAATTTTAATTAAAAGACAAAGACGCGGCGAGGCCTCACCAGAAACTTCATTGTAGACTTGTCGGACGGAAAGAGAACTGACGCTTGGAATAGACTGATGGGATAAGGTTTTTTTTTTTGTTCAATGACCATTTATTATACTACATGCCCTTTACAGGAAAAGGATACAAGATGGGAGGAAGTGGAATATACAGGATTGGTTATTGACAGATGGTGCTTCTTTAGAGGTTGTTGAAGTCCAGGTCTTGGGGTTGTAAGGTGGTGTGGAGGTCTTGGGGTTGGGTGGGTCCGCGGCCTGCCACCAGGTGGGATGGGATAAGGAATACGGAAGCGTCTTATATAGGGGATTCCTGGGGATTCCCCCCCCCCCCCCATTCACCACTAACCTCGGACTTGGTCCTTGGGCGATGGGGATTCCGTCGGGAGTGACGGAGATGGGAGGAAAAAAAAGGATTACCAGTTCTTTTTTTTTCATAGATCCGGTTTGGAATCTCGTCTTCTCTGAAAGGGTTTATTTTCACCAGTGAGAAATAATTTTCCTGGAATTTCTTCTACGTGGATCGTTCAAGGGAATGCCCAGAGTACGAACATGCTTCAGAGGGCCTTTTTCTTCGCAAAATCCGCTCTTTCATTCGCATAATGCCTTGTCTCAATCGCACGGGCGATGTCCTTGCCCGAAGGGAAAGCAAATGAATTATAATCGATCTCTCCACCCAACCCCCAGCGGCAGGCAGGGAAATGAGAATGAACCTGCTTATCTGCGAATGAACCTGATGAGAATCCTGCTGATAGCTGATCTGATAGGTAGCTGATTGACGGTCGATAACCCATCGTCCCGAGTTGCCATGCTCCGGTCGAATTGACCAGATAATCAAAGGAAAGGGAATACAAATTATGAAATGAGCAACAACTTAAAGCATAAAAAAAGAAAACAAAAATCCAGAAGGATCGAAGAAGCGGACTCGCGAGGAATCTCACTCGTGAGGGAAAAAGAAGAAAAAATTTCTTTTTTTTTCGCCTTTTCCTCCTTCGGCTTCCGACCTGAGCACTTCGTTATTTACAGGCGGCTGAGGTGGCACGGATGCAATCTGAAACATTTGGGAATGCCCAGGATCGAAATTAGACGGAGTGATCGATTCAGTGAATTTCCTTTCAATTTTTCATTTAAATTTCCCCTTTTTATTTTCATAACGGCCACATCTTTCAGCAGACGAAGATACGTTTCCGCGTTTCGACTCGTCGGAGCACGTGCTCCGACGGTCAGGCTCCTTTCTGTCGAGCGCCGTTGTCTCTTCGATGAAGAAGCCCGCCCAAATTCTCTCCCCGCTCCGATTCGCAAGGTGGAGATGGATTCCTTCCGGTCCTCTTGCTCCGACGAATGACGAGAAATGGGCGGGGCTCGTCGACGACGACATCGATGACGTCATCTCACTTCGGTGTGAGTTAAACCGCCCGCAGACGAGATTTTTGGAAACTCGGAAGAATTGAGGGCGGACCACCCGACGTTGGGGAAAGTGAGTTCGTCGCATACCCGTTCATGATAAGAATGACGCAAGAAAAACATGTTCTTTGGATGTCAAGTTCATTCTTCGATCAGGTGATTTCGCAGAGGCAGAAAGCCGACCTTTCTTCCGGCAGTCCTCGTAGTCTTTTCGGTTTTCGGTTTCAAACGGATCGGATCGAGATGAAAGTGTGTATGAGGGGGGGGGGGGGGGTCATTCGTGGGGAAAAGTTTCGGAGAGTAACTTCGGTTTCGGGTTTAATACCGACGGGGCTTGGGGGGTAGTCAGGGGAAGCGATTTCAAACTCGGAATAATTTCCAGGCAGGACAACTAATCATGTCTTGGCACATTCTCATCTCATCTCATCTCAATTCGTTCGAGTCGGAGGGAAATCTAGTCAGGGTATTTCCATTGATTTTTCAGAGGGGATTCCCAGAATACTTCTTCCAGGTTCTCGAATCTTCCATCTTCCACGAGATCAAGAAAATGAAAATAAGCAGGGAAAAAAAGGATGAAAAAATTAAAACCAGTTGGAGTGTAAATACTGTAATAATGACCTTCGATCGTTCAAGGTCCACATTATAAATTACGCTACACATTATAAATTACGCCGAAGGCGCTATGATTGCGCCTTCGGCGCTCCATTACCTTCGAGAGTCATTAATTCATTTATTACTTGCGAAATGGCAAACACGTATTTAAAGTACGTCCCCATTGAAATACGTGATATATGGGGACAAAAGCCTTGATTTTTATCAAAATCTTTACCTATATGATTTATATTGTGCCTAACTTGAAATCTTTTCTTGTGTCCCTTTTTGTAAGGGTGGAGAATAAATTTAGAAATACTTATATATATATATACTTAAATATAGGGAACATTTTTCAAAAGTAGGATTTTTCCTCTACTCAGCCATCAAACAGGCAATTCTGAGGGATGTTTACATTTTCTGTTTCTGTTTCGTTCGATCAAAAACAAAACCAGGAAAATGGGACTGAAAAAATGCCCTGATGGGTTTTAACGAAATTTTTTTTCTTCTGAAATGTAGACTCAGGGAACTCCATGCCACCAAGTTTCAGCCTTATACGTTTCCCCTATTTGTTGGCAGAAAAAAATTGTTTTTGGAAAAACGACCCACCGAAAAGCTGCGCTCTGAGGAGACGCTTAGCAAAAGTTGAATTTTTCCTTAAATCAACATCACGGCTGTTATGCGTGCGCCAGCTGCTATTTTTCTATTTCCGCCCGATTCGGTAGGATATGAAAAATTATTTGGAAACGTTACGTCCCCAAGAAATATGCCCCCCAAAAATATTTCTGAAATTCGACATTTGACATTTGACCTGAGTGCTTCAAGAGTCACGTTCTTGCCATGTTACAGCTTTCCATGGGTCTCCGTTTAATTGAAGCAAAGAGAACTATTTGAAAGTATGTTCCCCGAAAAGCTGTGCCCCTATGGCGTGCATCACCAAAGTGGAATATTTCCTGAACTCAGCATGTGAATCGCTACTTATGTCAGTCAGTCAGCTACTCACAATCATCAATATATAGTATGAAATTTGAATTGTTTCTTTACCCAGCTATTCATCAGGTACTTCTCTGTCAAGTTTAAACTTTCTGGCACACTCCGTTTTGCTGGATTAGGAAATGCAGGAAAATGTTGCAAAAATATGTGCCCTCGGGCGTTTTAACCGAAAAGTACAATTTTTTTTACCGAAATCAAACCTCAGTGAACTACACGCCCACCAAGTGTCAATCTTTTACGCTTGCCCTTTTCGCTGGTGAAAAATGATGTTTGCAAATGCCCGACCCACCCAAAAGCTATGCCCGGCGGGAATGCACCATGAAAGCTGAATACTCCCTCAACTCAATAATATCACGTCACTTATACGTGTGCCAAGTTTCACCTTTCCATTTATGTCCAATTCGCCACGACAATTTCTTTTTTTTTAAACATCGCCCCTCGAGAAATTTTCCCCTGGGGATATATCAAGACTTAACATTTTTCTTTAACTCCTTATCTTGGTAGTCACATTCATGCAAAGTTCCAGCTTTCCATGTCCATCTGTTTAACTAATGCAGAAAATTATGTGAAAACATCTCCCTTTGAAATTTATGCCCCCAGGGCATTTCATTCCAAAGTCTGAATTTTTTCTGCACGCAGCATCCCGGTAGGTAATTAGGTACCACGTTTCATCTTTCCTCATTAGCTCAATACACCAGGACCAAAAAAAATACTTGAAAACGTTGGCCCCCAAAAATTTGCCCCAGGGCATGGATATAAAATTTTGCATTTCTTTACTGAACGTATCGTGTCATTAGGCACATTCATGCCACGTTTTAGCTTTCCATGTCTCTCCGTTTTATTCAAGCAATGGGACATGGAAGGTAAGAGAAGCCAAAAAAAAGGCAAAGAATGGATTGGAATTGAACCCTGGCCTCACGATAACCGGTGAGATGTGCAACCACTACACCACCGAAACGGTGACATATATTGGTATCTTTCGATGACATCCTTATCCATCACGATGTATATTTTAAAATAACCTCTACCCCAAAATGTGTACCCCCAGGGCATGTACCTCCAAAGTCGGATTTTTTCTGATCTCTGCACCCCAAAAGGTACATGTGTACCAAGTTTCAGATTTCTAACCTTTCTGGAACATGGTTAGAATTAGCGTCAGTCAGTCAGTCAGTCAGTCACGATCGTCTATACCCGTATATTAGATGAAACGTTCGAATGACACGATCCCGTATTCTCCATTGTAATCAAGCAGGGTGCTTTTTTATTTTTTGCCAACGACTAGCCTATCTAATGACCTACTTTTATTAATGTGCCGTTTGAATGCGTAGTTAAGAGTACAAGGTGAAGAAATTCAATCCTGTTGCTCCTTCCATTTTGGGAAAATCCCGTAAGACACTGGAATAAATAGACCGGTAGTTGGAATATCAGTTGATATGGCACGTGTTGGCCCAGGGTTGCGATATGTCCGAATTGCGAGTTGCAGTCCCGCAGTGATCCCACGTAGAGGAGGAATTCCTAAGTGATGACAGGGTGACTAAAGGCAGGGCACCTTGCGATCGCCTTTCGTGCTGTGTGAACGCTGATGAATTTGTAATCTAGTCGGTGTGGGAGATAGCAGAAATATTTTATTTTTCTGCCGGCAACTCCGAAGGGAAACGGCCAGGTGCGAGCATTTCTTTGTTAAGGAAGTCTTCCGGTTCAACACTGTTATATTGCGAAGTTGCCTGATGCAGAAATTCAAATTGACTTCATCAACAGTGTACAATGCGTAAGTTACAGAAATGGAATAGTCTGAATAGATTTGCTATAACAATATGTTTTGTAAATATCAAATTGAACACATTCATTGAAAGTAAAATCGTACAGGTGAGGGTTAAGGTACCAAATTGAGTAGGAAATAAACATTGAATTTACCATACCGGCTTCTTCCTTGGCTCTAACTAACCTGTCGAACGGGGCAGTATATCCTAAAGAAAATTCCACCAAACTCAATAGAGTATTGTAAAACCAATTAATGACGTAAGTCCTCGTGCATCGAAACTTAGAGGGTCTGATCGCATGGGCGGTGGTGGAGCAAGCCACAATTACCCGAGGAGAAGTGAGAAAAGAGAGAATGAGACATGAAACAGCCTCCAAAGGTCTTTCGGAAGATGATCTCTCGGGGATGTCATAAGACGTGAGACTGCGGATCAGACCGGCTTGAATGCTTCCATATCCAATCGGCTGCCGCCAGCTTCCTCCCAGTCCTCTTTGCAGGCAGGGAATTCCGCCAGGGGATCTGGAAAAGATGCGAGGCTTTTCCCTTCGCCTTCGCAGTCCCCTTCCTTTTCTTATTGCGATCCTGCAAACTCTTAGGACTCTTACCTTTCGTGCGTTCTAGCATGTTGTATCGTGAGATCCTAGATCAATTTCCACTGTGCCTGAGCAAGAGGAGACTGGATTAATCTGTATTTATCTCTGGCAAAGGTGCTCTCTAGAAGCCTTCCAGATGAAGAGCTCAGCGGAGCGTGAGTATCGTTGCGGCCGTTTTGGGAGTCGGGTGCCTCCAAGTCTGTGTTTGCAGCGGTGACTTCACCTTGCAGTTTTGGTTATAGCCCATTTCATTTAGCTTCCTTGCAAAACCATTCGATTTGCTGCGCGGAACATAAATTGGAGATTTAGATACGTGAGGCGGCATGGGGCTCTAGTACCGATCTAGTACCGATTTAGCCCTGAAAATATTAAAACCGCTTGAACGTGAAAACGCTTGCTTCCGATTATAATAAATGAGGTACTGTTGACTTCTCGCTCTAAAGGTTTATCTTTTCGGGGTCTCATCGAGTCTAGTACTGGAATGGTACACGTCAAGTACTGGAGTGGTCAGAGCGCTTTGATGAACTCAGACAAATGAGGTACCTAAGCGCCGCAACTCCGAGGTGTCACAAATACAAAATGAAAGAAAAAAGATAAATGTAAAGAACTGCAAGGGACCTGTTGCAAGAGGTTTTCCCGTGTGCGAAAGTGACTTTTGGAACAACCTGCATTAATTGAAGGCTGCTTTTAAACAAATGTAATCCTAATATATGCAATCCATATTATTAAAATTAATTTATTCATATAAATTTCCAAGTTGAAAATAGAAAAGCAATGCCATATTTTCATGCACTTTTTTTAATTTTCGTTGTTAGCACCAATTGCATAAAAACTCGATCAATGATTCTCATGCTTTTCTCATGACCTTGAACTTTCCTGTTTGTAAAGAACGAATGAAAGGAATGAACGAAACCAGGTGAGAGTTATTCAGGTTTATTTGCTTTGATATAAAGAAGACAGTGACGAGAAAGAAAGGACGAGACGAGGCGAGGATCTAGGTCGGTCGTTCTCTTATCGCCCGTATCTGCAAGGAAAAGAGAGGGAAAATGATGCAGTCCTATTATACTTCTTCGTACTTCTTTCTGAACGCATGAATTTCTAACTTGCTGTACACGATGGTACATAACTGAAATATCACTTAAAGGGTAAAATGCATTTTGTGCAAGGACCCTCCAAGGATCACATAGGCGAGAAAGCGCTTCAAACAAATTTTCTGAGACTCTAAACATTTTCTGAGATTCTAAACATTTCTTAAGGCATTTGTGTTTTTCTAAAATGTGTAACAACTGATAAGACCTACTGCATCCCTATACTTTGTAAAAGATCAAGATTCCTGGATGCTTAGCAGACATAACCCGACATTTGTTCTACACTTCACGCGCCAGCGACCTTCCAAGTTCCTAACAGAGGCAAGTAGCAGAGAACATACCCGCGACCTCCTCCATGATGTCCTCCGTGATGCCCACCGAAGCGGCCTCCTCCGCCGTATCCACCTCGACCTCCTCCGTACCCTCCCCCGAATCCTCCTCTTCCGAATCCACCGCCAAACCTCTGGGGCTCCGGCTCTCCCAGGACGAGGCTCACGGCCACCACCACCAACATCCCAAAGACCCACTGCAAAGAAAGAATCAATGTAACACGTGCTGGTTCACTCGTGTCGGGCACCTACCGTCCATGAAACGTCTTAGCCTTACATTGAATATTGCGAGTATCATTTCGTACATCATTATTATTAAGAACTGTTTGATTGATCTGATGATATTAGTGCGTCTACTGACGCGCAAAAGAAGAGTTGCAAAGAACAGTATTGCTATAAAAAAAAAGGTGAAATTATCCTAATAATTAAATATCGCATGTAACTTATCAGAGAAATATAGAAGGAAGCGATGGGGCATTTTAATTGAATTCCGTCCAATTTTTTAAGAGAGGCAAGCATTATAGAAAACTTACACATTTATTTTACATATAGGACTTAATATTTTGGATTTGGTATGAGATGGGTGTTTCTCGTTTTCATGGGTGACAATTCCGCGAAAGGCGTGAAGCGATTTTTTCAATCACAAATATACCCCCCAAAAATCTAAATATTAAGGCAATCCAATATTAATTTAAAATTAAGGACAAAATGCGGCGAGGACTCACCAGAAACTTCATTGTAGACTTGTCGCACGGAAGGAGAACTGACGCCGGGAAAAAACTGATGGGAGGCGGAAGACGGGAGCGTCTTATATAGGGGATTCCTGGGGATTCCTGGGGATTCCCCCCCCCCCCCCCCCCCCCCCTCACCACTCCCCTTGGCCTTGGGCCTTGGGCGATGGGGATTCCGTCGGGAGTGACGGAGATGGGAGGAAAAAAAAGGATTACCAGTTCTTTTTATTTTATAGATTAAGTTAGGAATCCCTTCTCCCCTGAAAGGGTTTATTTTCACCAGTGAGAAATAATATTCTTGGAATTTCTTCTACGTGGATCGTTCAAGGGAATATCCAGAAAACGAACATGCTTCTGAAGGCCATTTTTTTTTGCAAAAACCTCCTTTTGATTCGCATAATGCCTTGTCTCAATCGCACGGGCGATGTCCTTGCCCGAAGGGAAAGCAAATGAATTATAATCGATCTCTCCACCCAACCCCCAGCGGCAGGCAGGGAAATGCGAATGAACCCGCTTCATCTGCGAATGAACCTGATGAGAATCCTGCTGATAGCTGATCTGATAGGTAGCTGATTGACGGTCGATAACCCATCGTCCCGAGTTTCCATGCTCGGGTCGAATTGACCAGATATTCATTATTAATCACGAAATTTCACGAAAATTACGCCACTATCATACAAGAGAATCAATTATTCCGACCATTGGAATCTTCTGCAAATGAAGAAAATCTGGAACTGTCATCAGAAGATTTTGTGCAGACGGGGCTTGGGGAAGCCATTTCGAACTCGGAATATTTTCCAGGCAGGACAACTAATCATGTCTTGGCTCATTCTCTTCTCATCTCAACTCGTTCGAGTCGGAGGGAAATCTAATCGGGGGTATTTCCACTGATTTTTCCGGAGGGGATTCCCAGAATACTTCTTCCAGGATCTCGACTCTTCCTTCTTTTAACAAATTAAGAAAATGAAAATAAGCGGGGAAAAAAGATGAAAAAAAAAACCATTTGGAGTGTAAATAATAATGACCTTCGATTTTTCAAGTTCCACATTATAAATTAACTCTATGTTAACGCTATGTTCCCGCCTTCGGCGCTCTATTACCTTGGATAGTGGATTCATTCATTTTTTGGGAAGTGGGAAACACGTATTTAAAGTACGTCCCCATTGAAATACGTGACTTATGGGGTCGAAAGTCTTGATTTTTATCAAAATCATTACCTCTATGATTCTATGTGTGCCTAACTTTATATCTTTTCTTGTGTCCCTTTTTGTAAGGGTGGATCTCAGGGAACTCCATGCCACCCAGTTTCAGCCTTATACGTTTCCCCTTTTTCCTGGCCGAAAAAATGTATTTGGAAGAGCGACCCACCCAAAAGCTGTACTCTGAGGAGACTTATTAAAAAAATTTAATTTTTCCTTAAATCAACTTCACGTCAGTGATGCGTGCGCCAGCCACTTTTCTATGTCTGCCCGGTGAACTACATGCCCACAAAGTTTCATACGTTTGCCCTTTTCGCTGGTGAAAAAACATGCTTGGAAAAGCCGACCCACCCAAAAGCTTTCCCTGGAGGGGATGCCCCATGAAAACTGAATACTCCCTCAGCTCAGCAATATCATGTCATTATACGTGTGCCAAGTTTCACCTTTCCATTTCTGTCCAATTCGCTGCAACCATTTTTTTTTTTCAAAACATCGCCCCTCAAAAAATTCCCCCAGGGGATGTATCGGGACTTAACATTTTTATTTAACTCTTTGTCTTAGTTGTCACATTCATGCAAAGTTTCAGTTTTCCATGTTCATCAGTTTAATTGATGCAAAAAATTATTTGAAAACATCTCCCTTTGAATTTTGGGCCCCCAGGGCATTTACTTTTAAAGTCTGAAGTTTTCTGCAGCATCCCAATATTATGTACCAAGGTTCATCTTTCCACACTAGCTCAATACGCAAGGAAAAAAAATTCTTGAAAACGTCGGTTCACAAAAATATGCCCCGAGGGCATGGATATAAATTTTTTCATTTTTCCTGAACTTATCGTCTCGGTAGACACGTCCATGCCAAGTTTCAGCTTTCCATGTCTCTCCGTTTTACTCAAGGAAAAATAATGTTATAGCGGGGGAATGAGTAACGGGACATGGAAGGTAAAAAAAAGCCAAAATGAAAGCCAAGGAATGGCCGGGAATTGAACTCAGTCCATCTACAGTAATTGCCAGTTAGAGATGCCACTAAAACACCATCGAACCCAGGACTTCCATTAGCACTCTGAATGCCATCCTCATCTGTCACAAAATGTATTTAAGAAAACCGTTTCCCTTCAGAGTTGCCGGCAGAAAAATAAAATATTTCTGCCATCTCCCACACCGACTAGATTACAAATTCATCAGCGTTCACACAGCACGAAAGGCGATCGCAAGGTGCCCTGCCTTTAGTCNTTTTTCTGAACTCTGCATCCCAAAAGGTACATGTGTACCAAGTTTCAGATTTCTAACCTTTCTAGAACATGGTCAGTCAGTCAGTCAGTCACGATCGTCTATATATATTAGATGAAACGTTCGAATGACACGATCCCGTATTATCCATATTAATCAAGGCAGGTTGCTTTTTATCTTTGGCAACGACTAGCTCATTTAATATACTTTATAATGTGCAGTTTAAATGCGTACTTAAGAGTACAAGGTGAAGAAATTACATCCTGTTGCTCTATACATCTTGGGAAAATCCCGTAAGACACTGGAATAAATAGACCGGCAGATGGAATATCAGCTGATATGGCACGTGTTGGCCCAGGGTTGCGAGGTACAGTCCCGTAGAGAAGGAATTCCTAAGTGATGACAGGGTGACTAAAGGCAGGGCACCTTGCGATCGCCTTTCGTGCTGTGTGAACGCTGATGAATTTGTAATCTAGTCGGTGTGGGAGATGGCAGAAATATTTTATTTTTCTGCCGGCAACTCTGAAGGGAAACGGCCAGTTACGAGCATTTCTTTCTTAAGGACGCCTTCCGGTTCAACACTGTTATATTGTGAAGTTGCCTTACGCAGAAATTCACATTGAGTTCATCAACAGCGTACAATGCGTAAGTTACAGAAAGGGAATAGTCTGAACAGATTTGCAAAAACAATATGTTTTGTAAATTTCAAATTGATCACATTCATTGAAAGTAGAATGATACAGGCGATGGTCGAGGTACCAAATTGTGCAAGAAATAATTACTGAATTTACCATGCCATCCTCTTCCTTGACTGTAACAAGCCTGTCGAACGCGCCTGTATATCCTAAAGAACATTCCACCAAACTCAATTGCGTATCGTAAAACCAATTTATCGCGTAAGTTCTCTTGCATCTAAACTTAGAGAGATTGATCGCTTGAGCGGTGGTGGAGCAAGCCACAATTACTCGAGGAGATGTGAGAAAAGAGAGAATGAGACATGCATCAGCTTCCAATGGTCTCTCGGGGATGTCATAAGACGTGAGACTGCGGATCAGACCGGCTTGAATGCTTCCATATCCAATCGGCTGCCACCCGCATCCTCCCAGTCCTCTTTGCAGGCAGGGAATTCCGCTAGGGGTTCTGGAAAAGATGCCTGGCCTTTTCCTTCGCCGTCCCCTTCACCTTCTCATTGCGATCCCGTGAATTATCATGACTCGTGCCGGCCGTGAGTGTATGCCGTGGCGTTCGTGGGTCATCGTGTTCCTAGTTTTGTCTGCTAGGAAATCTTGCACGGAAGTCGCACCGTGAAGCTTCTCTGCGACCCGCTCGGCAAGACTTCCGAGTGATTGAGATAACTTGGAATTTCGGATCAGGCGTTTCATGAAAATGAGAAGTATTTTTAGGAATGGATCTGTCTAATCCCATTCTTGCCTTCATCAATCCAGATTTACAACCATGAGTGCTAGCTTCACTCGGATCAAAGACAAAAAATTCGCATCCAAAAACTGTGACCGGTCGATTGGACGGGCACCGGATCCGGACTTTTAAGGTGAGTGTCAGAGTTATGTTAATGGTTGAGGTGACAAAGATTCTTCAGTGAAACGACATTCTCAAGCGAAACTACAGAACAAATCGATGGAAACGTCTGACAAAACGCGAGGTGAAATACCAAAGCACCTCCACGAAAAGGGAAGAATCGCTCGAGGTGACCAAAGATTCTCTCCAGGACGAAGTGAGAAATAAGGTGAGTGAAAATCCCGACATACACACCCACACGCGATTTCTTCGCCGCTGATCCCGCGTTTGTCGTCAAATCGTCCCCAAAGAAATGGATGAATAGCTCCTTTCACAGACAGCCATTGAAGGTGAATTAAGAAGGCAACGAAGGTGGTTTTTTTTTCGGACTATTAACTTCACCGTCCCCTTATCTTCTTGTCTTCCCTTTAAAATGTGTCTACGTGACCTCGTCTCCTCGCTGTTGAGAAGAAACGAAGGTAAGAATTCTGAGGCGGCACACAACGTTGAGCCCACGTTGGCTGGGAGTGGGGAAGCGTAGGCCCCACATCTGCACCATGGTGGCAACCAACATTTGCCATGTCTCAGGATGAGACATTTAATTCAGTTATTGGAACAAAAAGCTTTCCACAAATGACGCGAGATGGCGCATATGTAACCGCTGTTTCAATGGGATCGTGGAGTGACTCGCTAATTTAAGACCCCAGTCTTTTCATGCTGTACTTGATCTTTTCCCACAGAGAACGTAAGGGAATACATTTGAATTTCTTAATTGACTTATTTAAACAAGTTAAGCAGTCAAATGAGACTCCTGATAATCGTTGAGGCACTGTTTAAATAGGGCTTCCCTCGATGTGAGCATAAAGAGGATTCATTTAGGAGTCTGAATCTGTCTCCCTAAATTCGGGTGTGATAAAAGATCTGATCAACCGAGTCTCATAATACATTCACTTCAACAGCGGGAAAAGAGCATGGATGAATACCCACAGCGGCTCAAATCAAAGAGAGCATAACTAGAGGCAGCACTCAGCTAAAATGCCATCCATCGAGAGGGCCCCATATAGTCGTCACAGTCGATCCTCCACCGAGCGCGGGAAGGCAGATACTACGATGTCCGCTTGTCATTGGTGCCTTTTTTCCGGTTGCTGGGGGAGAGAAACCGGTTGCAGAGCTTTTGTGAGAACATTCGACGCTTTAAACCCTTTCAGACATGAATTAAGGCCGCTATCGGTATAATGTAATTTTTTGCGGTTTTGAGCTTTTTCGTGATTGTAATTGAAATTTTCATGCTTTACATGTAATTTTCATATTTTGTATAAATTTACCATATCATACGATATACTATATATTAAACATTTAATTAAATAAGTGAAGATTACAAAACTAATGGGCGAAAGAAGGCCTCTGATAGAATTGAGCCATGCACAATTGCGCCCATTGTGGCTTAATATGGAGCTCAAAGTCACGAGAATCCCAAGAAATTGCCATGGACACAATGCAAATGCAATGGCCATTGGAATGGACGCCGGGTCTGAAAGGGTTAAATTTATTATTTGCGGAGCAGGGAAAAGAATTACTATTAACATATTTGCTGTCAGCCTCTCAAGTTTCCCGCCTGTTTGACAGGTTTATTTAGATATTTTCCCAAATTGTGTATCGTCTGAAACATGGAAGAACGCGATGAAACCGCTGAAGAGATAAACTGTCGTCCCCGTCAGACCAACCGATAAATGAAGGAGACCAAGTTATCTCCCAATGGAGATTCAGCACGACTTTTGTCAAATGCCGAAGTCGTCCACGGTCGTTAGCGAGTCGGTTTCGCATTATCTTTGCATGAAGGCAAAAAAAAAAAGAAGGAAACTAGAGAGCAGACCTTTCGGGTTCCTCCCGTCGTCGCTCCTCCCTCCACCGACCCCAAGGACTTCCTTGGCCCACCGACCCCAAGAACTTCCCTGGCCCACCGTCAGCATCCCCAGCACTCCTGACATCCACTGGGGAGAATCCATGCCGGGAATGCTAATCGAGTGTCCGCTCTGCACGGATTATTCAAACGAGATATCTCCTCGCCGTGAACGAGAGAGCATAATGAAATTGATTGCATCATCCGATCGCCATTACCCTCAGTAGAATGCAAAGGAACCTCCCTACATGTTAAAATTGCGAAGGGCTTGCGGATGGGGGTTAGCGATTTGGATCTTTGAAAATTTTCCAAACAGGACAACTTTTCACTTACTTTCATCTCGCCTCAATTCGTTCTCGCTTCATTCCGTCCCCTGCATGGGTCAAAATTCGCTTGCTGTCAGTGGATGGTTCGCGATCACCGATACTAGGGGAACTTAATGGGTTTTGCAGAGAGAATCAGCTCCTTCTAGGATATTACTTCCCTGACCTCAACTTATCGTTCTTGGAAGTGCTAAGGAGAACGAAAATAAGGGGGAAAGGAAAGATAATGAAAGAAACCAGTTCCAGCGGATAACGACCTTCAATCGTCTCGAGTTCCTCCTAATACAAGAAACGTAAGAACAACACGAGTCTCCGCATTCATCAAGGCTGGCTGGTTTTTGTTTACGACCGCGAGAAACCCGTCTTCCATTTGTGTAAAATGCTGATTAAATGCACGGCTGGAATGCAATGGGTGCAATGGTGCAGTTCGACCCGGTCAATCCATTCATCGACGGAAAGTTCCACGAACCACAGAAATTTTCGACCGGATCGAATTCGCTTCAGCGACGGCACCCAAGTGGCACGAGAACGTCTAGGAGGCTCTTTCGCCTTCGAGCTTCAGGGATGAGCAGCTCTCGGACGCTCGATCGAGGTCTCGTGTCATCACCGACGCATGACGGTCTTGAAGGATGTTCGTCGAACGTTAAAGAGGCGCCTTTCTTGAGCATCCATCTGAGAGGGGCTGGAAGCGAAGGTTCACACAATTGATGCTAGATGTCGCCAAGGAGCTGCTATAGCTAGTTAAGACCTCATATAGCTGGAATTTTCTGCACTAATTTCCATTAGGTGCCCGATCTTTTCCCCACACGGACACCACTAAGGGAGACATTCGAATTCTTAAACAAATCGGTCTTACAAGGTAACGTAGTCCAAGGCGTCTCCAGAAAACTCTGGCGCGGAGGATGGAGGGAAGATGATTCAACTTTTAAGTTCACTTCATGAGACACAGAATAGCGGCCACCTCCCCCTTTGCACAAGATTTTCCCTATCAGCGTGGCATGTACCCTCAAACTTTCCTTCGCGCACCCCACTAACTCTTAGCTCTCCCTTTCGCAAGCAGACACCTGATAAGGCCCTTCCGGTCAGCTGGATCCGCAAACGTCTTTTGGTCTTCGGGGCATCTGTCCTTAACCCTTCCGATAGGATGTAAATATAATATCGACTTAAATAAAATCACACCTCACTGACTCATGAAGTAAAACGGCTAGGACCCTATAGATCTCACTCCTCTTCGGCTCAGGTGGACCTAAGCGTTAAGTGTCCCAAAACACTGATACTAACCTAAATAAATTCAGGTTGCTTTCACAATAAGGCCGCATAGTTCTTTACTCTTTAATTAAACTCCTAAAGATAAAAAAAAACCTCAAGGGAGAGATCCTGGGGGGGGGGGGGGGTATGAAGTAAAACGGCTAGGACCCTATAGATCTCATTCCTCTTCGGCTCAGGTGGACCTAAGCGTTAAGTGCCCCAAAACACTGATACTAACCTAAATAAATTCAGGTAGCTTTCTCAATAAGGCCGCATAGTTCCTTACTCTTTAATTAAACTCCTAAAGATAACAAAAACACCTCAAGGAAGAGATCCTGGGGGGGAAGCAGCTCTCTCTCGGGCTGACCCCATAGCCATGAGTCACCTTCTCAGGGCTAAGTCATTAGCTTCACGAGGGTCTTGCTCTCTGACGGCCCTCATGTTGAGAGGATCTCACCATGGTGGGCGAGAGTCGTGTCGGTCCACCACATGACAGCGGGCCCACCATACCTTTAGCTCCTAATTTAATAATAATAATTAAAAAAAAGAAACGTTTTCAATTGGGGGAGAAATGGACTTTGATAGATGACCAATATCTACTGCGGCGCTACTTTTCATCCTTTGCTCCGCCTGTGAACAAACACCACCGCAACTTACTCCAGACAACAGCCCAACGCTCAAGGTAACCCACCTGTAAAAAAATAGGGTAATTGCTGCGAATGTCGGCATGGGGGGTAATCTCAGCACTTTGCAATCGTCAAAATTCTGCTTTTAATACTAGTCCGCTAAGCACGGGTAGATAAATATTCTCAGGTGGTATGACTATTGTTGTTAACATGTGCTTGGAATGGCTATATTTGCTGTTGTAGTTTTCTCGCAGTGGCCACTTTCTCTAAGCGCTCTCCGAAAATCCTGCGAAATCTTGTGCTTTTGCTAAGCTTTTGCACATTCCGTTCTTCTCTTCAACATTAGGCATTGTTTTATCAGGTCGTTGCATTCATTTTTGGATCCATTGTAAACGACAGTGGTACATGAGTGTGCCGAGATTCCCGACAGGGTGGTGCCGTCAATACCAACAAGTGTGCCGAAATTGCCAACACCTGACCCAACTTCACATTTGACCCAGGCCCTCGGTAAAGAAAGGAGTAAAGTTGGAGATATCAACCAACAATTGCAAATGCTTTTTCGTCCATGGGATGCTGCCCGAAGCAAGGGACACTGAGTTTTTGCAAACGACACTCCTCCACAACTGACACTCAACCACCCAGGATGAATGTAGAAGGAATGGACCACCTGATAAGGCCCTGATGGCCAGCTGGGGCTCAG